AGAGCTGATGAATTAGGAACAAGAGGTCGCCAGCAGAGAGGGCTGACAAGGCAGACCGTTCCCACCAGGTAGAGTGAACAAGACACAGCCAGGGAGGTGCAGTTCGTGATGAGGACAAAGTCCAGCGTATGACGCTATAAAAGGGGGGGAGGCTCACTGTTATGAAGACATCAAGGAGCTAGTCCATCTCCCCAGCACCAAAGCAACGAAAGAATGAAGACACGGTGCAGAAACAGTCCTCAGGTTTGTTGGGAAGGACAGCCAAGGTCCCTTCTACTCCAGAGGGGGCTGGCTTAGTGGGAGCATGACTGAAGTGATGGGAATGATGCAGGAAAGAGGATGCAGTGGATGGGGAACACGGAAGCAAAGTCCCAGAGGAACACAGAGGCATCACCCTCCGCTAGATGGTGGGTTCCATTCTTGCAGCTGGGACCAGCACAGAGAGGAAGGAGCAGGGGTAGGTGGCTTTGCAGATCTGGTAGTGGGAACATGAGGGAGTACTGCTATGGTGGCTTCTGATTTCTCAAGGAAGTGAGGTGAGCCCAACAAGTTACTTTATAAAAAATTAGCTCCTGTATCATCCCATCACCACCATCATAGTGACTCATCCAGAAGAAATGAAAGGCGGTAGCCAGGCATTGTGTTCTAAGGCTTTGCCTTTTCTCTCCCATCCTGGAAGGTAAGTGGTCTACCTGGGAAGGTAAACAGTCTGTTTTGTAGTTCTGGTGTCTAAGATCTTTCTGACAGCTCTGAGGGAACACAGCACTGGGTTCTAGGGAGCTGACTGCAGAGATGGAGAAGGGCAGGAAAACATCGATCTCCACCATCCCACCACCAGCTTAGGACAGTGCCAATGTGTGACAGAAAGTGCCAGACTAAAGGCTGTGATTCTATGAGTCTAAGGAAGAGGTATCTTTGAAAGAGCGCAAGGACCAGGCTAGACAAGCGAGGCCTTGTAGATGGGGAAGAGAGGAAGCCCCACGGAATGATGGCTGATACTTGAAAAGTACATCAGTGTCAGTGCTTATCTGCTGGGCGCTGGTGCACAGACTGCCCACCCAAGGGCTGTGTAAAGCCCTGAAGGTCTTAGGCTTCTGGAAGGAGGACCTGTGAGGGATATGGGAATCCTGCTGATCTGGTGGATGGGGAATCAAGCTAAATTTAATTTGATTTAGGCCAATTAAGAGATGATTAAAGATGTACTGACGTCACAAGTTTCAAGGCTGTCCGGTGGGCCCAGGTCCTGGACAGAGGGTGAACAGGGAATGGGAAGTGACATCTGGTCCTCCCCTCACCCTGCACCCTGCGGCTGGAATACAGCAGACACAGAGCTACCACGTGGCACCACTCGGCCTTCACAGATGAGCACAAGGACATCCTTCCCTGCCAGGCCCAGGAACAGGGCAGCAGGGCAGCCCCACATGGACCTTATGCTCACAGCTTGGCAATCTGGACAGGGCTGTGGCTCGGTTCCCTCACACTCTGAAGCACTGCTAGGCCTAGCCCCGTGGGTCTCTTGAAATGTGGTTCCAGGATGTGGGCTTTTGGTTTCGTTCCCCAGAGTCTGGGTCCAGTTAGTTCCAGGTGCGGTAGCTGTTGAGATCCGAATCCTTCACTTTCCTCAAGGGCATCCTCCTGCCCTGCCTTTACAGACACCTTACCACACAGGGACTGATGGGTATGCAGAGGGCTACGGAGTAATGGGATGAGATTGAGACCTCTGTGGGGGCATAGGGCTTTGATATAAGAGCCCGGGTGGCAGTGAGCAGCCTGGCACATTCACCACAGGAGTACAGGTGTCCCCCACCCCAAGTGTTAGGCTCACCGGCTAGGCAGCACTGGGCAGAGGGACAGAGTTGCCAGATGGTCAGATCTGCTGAGGCCCAGGTTAGCAGGTACATGCACCAGAAGACACCAACAAGCTCCTCTTCCAGTGTATGGCAAAGACACAGAGGAGTCTGAATGCAGGTGGTAAGAACTGGTCAGGAATCTCTTTTTTCACCTGGTCATTCATGTCTAGTGGTTCCTTGGGCAAAGAAGGAGGAAATCCATCTTTTTATTCCTTTAACAAACATGTATTGTGCACCTAAGGTGTGTCCGGCCCCTGTGCTAGCCACAGAAACACGGCCATGGATAAGGCATAAGGATTCCTCGTATTCTCAAGGACTTCACGGTCTGTAATTGCAGGAAATGACACAGATGCAAGTAGCAGTGACCCCCAAACATTACAGCTGAGGAAGGCAAAGCCCTAACCCAGTCCAGCGATCAGGTATGGCTTCCTGGAGGAAGTGATGGTTCTAAAGAGGTACTGGTTCCAGAGTACTGAAACCACTCAAGGTGGAGCAAGTCTCAAGGAGTATCACTGTATGACAATGCACAGATGAGTCCATGACTAGTTTGCTTTGTGTGGACTGAAACCTAAAGTCAGAAACTCTCTCTATATACGTGTCCTTTATGAGCCACATGGTTTGGTGCCTCCTTTTATTTTCAAAATCTACAGGACTGATGACTAATTGGACGGGGTGCCACAGAGAAGATCTCTGCATTTCCAGCCCAGTGCCTGAGTAACCAAGGATGTCACTGCTTGAGAACAAGGGGAGCTGCCCAAGGTGGGAGAGATGCAGATTTTGTTTACCAGTGAGACATCCAGGGAGTGATACGGAGAACGCTCTTGGTATTTAAATCTGGAGCACAGATGAGAGTCCCAAATTGGAGGTAACAATTTGGAAGTCATCTGCCTATGGCTAGTAGTAATTAAAACTGTCCCTGGAAAGGGGTCAGAGCTTAAGACAGAGCCCCAGAATTGCTGAAGAGGGAACAGCAGAGAAACTACAGAAAGGGTAGCTGAGGAGCAGTGTGGGTCAGTGAAGCCAAAGGGAAAGACTGTTTTCATTAGTCAGCAATGAGTAGACATAATTGGCTGGAAAATACTTTTTTAAATGGTGGTGGGAGGAATAAACCCTCAAAGTTCTGAAAAAAAGGCAAGAAAACGCCTAAAGATGCATCAGACTTGAAGTAGCTTGCCCACAATACACCAAAATTACCAACGGTTGAAAAACCACTGAACAGAGTATTCGTTTTTGATCAGTTTGTCATCCTGACCAAATTGTCTACTCAGAATCTCTGGAGCCGGGCCCATCCCTTTTTCACACACCAGGGGGCGCACATGCACTGCTTCTGACGCCAAGTTCAGGACAAAAGCAGGTTGTGAATTAGGTGATAACCACAACTAGATCCCTCAGCCTGGAGCCCTGACCTTGCCCTGCCCATCACCACGGCGATCCCAGAATCCAGGTACCTAGACAATCTTCAAATTTTGTTTCATTTCTCACTTGACTTCAAATTTACTGAGGCTGGGCATGGTGGCACATTCATGTAATCCCGGCACTCAGGAGGCCGAGACAGGAGGAACCTGGGAGTTCAAGGTCAGTTTGGGTTACATAGAGAGTTCAGGGCCAGCCTGCAGTACATAATGAAACCCTTTTTAAAAACAAAAACAAAATTCAAAACAAACAAAAAAACACTTCTGACAGAATCAGTCAGACCCCACAAAGGACCAGAAACCTAACTGAGTCTCATCTGACCCAAGGCAGTGGTGGCATTTCCCCTGCCTTCTAGGGTGAAACCTAACTGGCCAGAGATGTGGTTAGGCTAGAGACAGGAAAGCACTGGATAGGTTTGTGGTGGTAGCATGAGGGAGGGGGGCTGTCTGAAGGCAGGGGCTTTGGTTCAAAGACTGTCTTTCTGTTTAGAGGTTACCAATTCTACAAAGACTGGGACTTGGACTAAATCTTCAGGGAAGTTATTGGTATAGTCCAGAAATTTATGGGCTCTGTCTTTAAGTTTGATGAGAGGAGTCAGAAACCCAATACAAGGTTATGTTCAACATAGGGGCATTATCAAGTATTGAATTCAAAGACCAAGTTGTACCAGTTAGGATTAGTATAAATACTGGGGAGCTGGTCAACCTCTGATTAGGGCTGACATTAGGTTGGAAAAGACAGTGAATGTGGGGACAGTAAGGGATGGGCTTGGGCAGAGTTTCTGCAAGGTCAATTTGCCTATTTTGGGCTTCAAGATTATTAAAGCTGTGTGAAGTGATTCTCACCTGTAATCCTAGCACTCAGGAGGCTGAGGCAGGAGGATTGCTGTGAGTTCAAGGCCAGCCTGGGCTACATGAGTTAAAGGCCAGCCTGAACCACAGAGTGCGATCCTGTCTCAAAAGAGAACATTAGAGGTAGGGTCAGATTAGGGTCCCAAATAGTCACAAAGGTGGGTGAGATGTAAGGTCAGTATATGTTAGGGGACCTTCACTGGTGATCCAATCCCAACTCTGGATTTGAAATTGAGAATCCAGATTCAGAAAGTGTGTTGGTGTTGACCTGGGAAGTGGGTATTGTTTTAAGGCTTGTGGTTCCAAAGTGGATTGGGGTCTAGAAGAACAAAGTGGCTGTAGGATATTAGGGCTCATTTAGGGAGAGCGGGCTCAGCATGAGTACTGGAGTTCATTTAGGGTTGTGCAGTGTCACTATTAAGCTTAGGGCAGGTCAAATTAACGAAGGTGTTAGGGTTAAATCGGTAACTGGGGCTACACAGTATAGGGTTTTACAAAAAAACTACTGTGCCAATTTCAAAACAGACTTATGGGTCTGGACTCAATACAGGATTTAAGGGTGGGTCTGAGCTCAGGATCAGGTTTAGATTGTATGCGGGGACAATGGGGTCCTAGAATAGTGTAAGGTTCATATCAGGATTTCGGGAACCAGTAGAAGGATCTGGACTTAGTAACGGAGTTGGAGTCTGTCCACGCTCATGCCTGGGGTTCAAAATCAAAATTGGCATTGTGGTGGGTTTCGACTCAGGGCTTCGTTGTTGCCTCTCCGGGCCTACGCGGCTCAGCGGCTGTACGAGCGAGAGTGCACGCGGGGAGGGGCGGTGCCGAGGGCGCGCACGGCAGGGGCAGGGGCGCGGGCGCGGGCGCGAGCGGGGGCGCGCGGCCCGGGCTGGCGCGGGAGCGGCGGCGACAGAGGCGGCAGAGGCGGCGGCTCGGGCTCCAGCTCCGGCTCCAGCTCCAGCTCCGGCTTGGGCGGCGGTGGCGGGAGCGGGGCCAGGGCCAGGTGGCGGGAGCGGCGGCCTCGGCGGCGCTGGGGGACATGCGGACCGACGGCCCCTGGATCGGCGGTGAGTGACCCGGGGCCCTCCCCGGCCCCTCCGCGCCCGTCCCTCCCCCGCGCCCCACGCCCTCCCCCGTGAGCACCGCGGGGACCCGGGGGCAGTCCCGGGGGGCCGGAGCCGCGGAGGCCGGGCCGCGTCCCCACCTGCCGCGCCCGCAGTCTCGGCTCGGCCCCCCACAGGCCTGGCGGCTCCTCCTCGCGCTTTCCTCGCAGCAGACGCGTCCCCCCCACGCCGGCCGGCGAGCCCCCTCCCTCTCTGCCTCCCTCCCCGCCCTTCCTCCCGCCGCACCTGAGCCGCAGCCCGCGTCCCCCGGTGCAAAGTTTCCCTTCGCAGGGGCGCTTCCCGCCCCGGTCCCGCCTCGCCTCCAGTCTCCGACGCGGACGCGCTCGGCGGCGGTTCCCGGCCTCCCTTCGCCCCCAGCCCCAGGCAGGTCGGCCCGCGCCCCCGCCCGGCGCCCCCGCCGCCGCCCCCGCCGCGGGACGCCCGCAGCCACCGCCCCCTCGCTGGCCGCCCCGGCGCACGTGCGGTCCCAGGACGCGCCCGGCCGAGTCGGGGCCCCCGCCCCCCGGCGCGAGCGTGGGCTCGGGAGGGGCCGGGCGGCGGGGCCCTTCAGCCCGCTGAGCGGCGCCCCAAGGCCCCGGAGCGCCGTGCCCCAAAGGACGTGTCGGCTCGCACCCGCTCCGAAAGTTCGCTCCGTCGCCGCCCTGCGCCCTGTCCCGTCCCGAGTGCCCAGTCCCCCGTCTCTGTGCCGCGTCGTCGTCGCGACTTTTTCCTCAGAGTCGGCCTCTCGGTGTCTCTGCCCCCTACTCTCACCCACTGCGGTCCCAGGGTCCCTCCAGCCGCAGCCTTGTCCCTCCTGGTGTCTCCCTTCTCTTCTCCGCCCTCGTCTCTGCTCTCCCGGGCCTCCGCTTTTCTAGCTGGGTCTCCCTGTTGTGTCTACCCCGGATCGTCCTGTTCCCTCCCTGAGTCTGTGTTCATTCCTGGGTCCCTGTTCTAAACCCTTGGGACTCTGTGCCCCCCTCCCCGTTTTGCACTTGTCTCTGCACCCCCTCTTTGCGGCCCCTCCCTCTTCTGGAATGTTGCCCCTCTGGTTCCTCCACCTGGGAGGGGAGGGCTTGGCCTTCTCCCCGATTTGCCCCCTCCCCCAGTGCAGGCCCGGGAGTGGGAGCAGATAGGGGCGGCAGCCATAGTACCTACCTGGACAGTGAAAAGAAGGGAGGCCATCAGTGCCAGGAGACTTTCCTGGCGCCCCTGAAGACAGCGGAGCTGGGCCTGGGTGGCTGGATTGCCAAGTGTTGGTGACCCAGGCGCCACGTTGGCTTGTGAAGGGACAGGCCAGGAATCCGAGTGATTTAGTGCCAGATTTAGTGCCCGCGAATCCAGGGAGGTGCATTGGGGTGGCAGGAGGCCTAGGAGGTTCCAGGAGGAGGAATCCAGCCAGGGACCATTTGGAAGACATCAGGGCACTTTTGAGTCTAAAGCAGTTATGACAGGAAACCGAAGGAAAGCCTGTTTGGTTCCTTATTAACTCTTACTTCAAGGAGCATGAAAATTCCTGGTTTTTTCCTGATTATGTGAGCTTCTGAAAGGAGCAGGTATGACTACCCCAGGACCATCTGGTGCCCTCAGCCTCACTGCCCACTCTGGCTTCCCAGTCCAGTCCTGCACAGCTTGCCCCACCCTTGTACACCCACATTTACTTTCTCCTCTCCGTCTTGCCAACTCTGGCTCACTCCAACTAGTGCTCAGAAATTCTCTGTGCTTACACTCCCAGCACACCTGTGCACATGCACACTGTCTTGAGCTTTGTGGTACCCACACTTTTTTGCATATTTTTACTCTTACAGTTTTTGTCTTATTATTTGAAGTGTCTTCCTAGTTTTGTTTTCTTTTCCAGCTGTTCTCCCTTCTTTCCTTTAAATTAGGAAGTTGCTTTTATGTAATTCTGTCCCTTCCTCGTCCTTGTGGCTAGTGACCTTCTTCCCTTCCATGCAGCCTCGCACAGTTACCCCTGGCATGGTAGATAGAGCTTCTGAAAGTGTAGGGAGGATTTGGGTGTCGGTAAAGCATTTTTCAAGAGACGGGGAATGAGCTAGAACCTATTTCTTGGGAATTGCATATGTGATGCGTACTGGCCTTGCCGATTATTATACCCTCTGCTTTTCTCCTGAGCAGCGTTAACTGTGGGAATTCCCTTTCAAGGGACCTCTTAAGGGAGATAGGATGCAAGCTTCCACATTAGAGCCTGTGGTACACTCTCGTTGTCCACCTTGAGATCTGGGGAAGAGGAGTGCTTTTCTCTTTAAGTCTCAATTCCAGACCCAGGCAGGCCCCAGGGCTGCTATGAGAATCAAAGGAATGGGTGGCAGTGCATTGCCAGTCACTTTGGGGGAATGCAAAAGCAATTCACTAACCTACTATTGATTGCTGACTATGTGCCAGACACCAGACTAGGCACTTTCTCATTGACAGTCTTTTTTGAGACAGGGTCTCAATATGTAGTCCAGGCTGGTCTTGAATTCACTGTGTGGCCCAGGCTGTCATTGAACTGGCAGTCCTCCTGCCTCAGCCTCCCCAGTGCTGGGATTACAGGTGTGCCATCATGCCCAGCATGTCTTATTTTTTTATGTAGAAGAGGTTGAGACAACAGCCCACCCAAAGCAACTCAATTTGGAGCGGGATTAAAAAGATTCAGCATGAGACAGGGGAGAGTTTAGAGGTAAGAGTCCCAGAGGAGATCAAGAGGGGGCCTTTCTGGATTGCATTTAAAGGAATAAGTAGAATTCACCAACTCAAGAAGAAAGAAAAGGCACTTTAAAGAAGATTGAGTATGAAGATACAGAGTTTGGGAGAGTAAGCCCAGCCCAAAGACAACCAGGAGTTCTGTGAGAGATGAGGGGCAATGCTTACCGAAAGGAGACCACCTCAACTGGGCATGGTGGCACATACATGTAATCCTAGCACTCAGGAGACTGGGTCGGGAGAATGCTAAGTTCAAGGCCAATTTCATAAGCCTGTATTTCAGGAAACAGCTGAGACTGCAGTTCAGTGGCAGAGCTTACCTAGTATGCTCAAGGCCCTGGGTTCAATCCTCAGCACCACAAAATGGTTTGCGTGGCAGACAGCCCCCAAACAGTGGCAAAGAGTTCAGACTTTGATTTTGAACTGCTGGCATTTGACTTGACCTTGAGCAAGTTATAGTACTTAATATCTCTAAGCTGGTTTCCTCATTTGTCAAGTAGGCATGGTAGAATTCCATGCCTCACAAGATTGTTAGGAGGATTAAAGTTAATACCCACAAAGTGTTTAAAACTGGGCCCAGTGTCTAGTGAGTACTGTTACTTAATGGTAGCAGTTGTTACTGTACCTTGTACAACAAGGGTAATGCAAACCCACTCAACCCATCAGGATCACCCAGAGTTGCTTTAAAAATATACACTATTCCTAGGTGTGGCAGTGCACACCTGTAATCCTAGCTTTTTGGGAGGCTGAGACAGGAGGATCCTAAGTTGAAAGCCAACCTAGGAAAGTGATAGCCTGTTTCGGAATTAAAAAAGAACTGGGGCTGTGGCTCAGTGAGAAGGCCTTGGATTCAGTCCCCAGCACTGTACTGAAAAAAACTTAACAGCAAAAACTCAAGGCCAGGGATATAGTTCTCAGCAGCACAACCTGGAAAACGCAGGTCCTAAATTCAGTTCTTGATCTTCCCTCACCTAAAAAAAAAAAAACAAAAACAAAACACTACCAAGGTTAAGAAATCTGCCCAGCTAAAGTAACTGCAGTTCCAAGCTGAGGCTCACAGGTAGGGAGCTTAATGAGGTGGGTGCCGTGCTCCCAGCCCTCATGGGCATTGGTGGAGTTCTGTGTGTCACCCCGGTCCTTTTGACCTTCAAGTCAGCGGGCTGTGAAAAGGCTAAAGATGCAGCCCTGTAGAAGAGACCCCAGAGGGTGGCTGGGTTAGTGGACATGAGCTGCGATTCTGAGAAGAGGCAGCCTCGAGGTGTTTAGGTCCTCTTTCTTTCTGAGCCATGGCCACTGACTAAACTGCTTTTTTCCTGCATTTGCCTCCAAGATCTGTCTGCACCAGGTCTCTGCGTATTCCCAACCACTGGGACTGAGAACTCTGATTTTAGCACCTTAGTGGTGTTTCAGCTGCTGCTTCTGGGCAGTGATGGCAAACTTAAGAACTTTCAATGGTAACAGACTGCCTGCTGCAGCACATGAGCCTTGGGCCACCACTGTGATTCTAGGGGCCACTATTAGTGATCTGAATGGGGACTTGGTTGCTCAGGTAAATTATTTGGGGGCCATTTAATCCTGGACTGGGTCATTCAGCTAGCTGTTGTGGCTGCTGTGAAAGCCTGCCCTGGTGCTTCTGTGTGCCTCCAGGTCTTACCAAGCTCAAGATCTTGTGTATGTCTAGTCTGCTCCAAGACAGCCTCCTGACCATTTTTGGTGCACACCTCTTTTCAGGTGTGGCTTCAGCTCAACCTAGGGTCTGTCCCAGTTTCCAAACACAAGGCCCAGTACATCTGGTGTGGCAGCAGCGCCTGGTGACTTAGAACACCTTTCCTATTCTCTGCCTTGGATACTGCCCCTCTGCTCAGAGTTCCTGAGCACCAGAGTTCCTGGGCACCAGAGGCCCGGTGGGTGTCTCTAGTCTCTAGACAAACGGCCTTTGAGTGTAGAACACGGAAGCTGGTTTGTCTAGCCAGACTCGCCTGGCAGCTTTCGTGCTGGGAGCAGCAGCCACTGGGAATGTTGTGAAGAAACACAATGGGCTGGGAGAGGAAAGTGTGTGGGCATCTTGAGCCCAGGGCTGCTGTTCTGGCTGGCGTGGGCAGGGTTGGTAGAGGCACGGTCTGTAAGCATAGTGCTGAGCAGTTGAGGTCTGTGCTGCAGAAGACTCTGCTGTCTTGCTGAAGGAGATCGGTCTCAAGTGAGGACGATTCTCAGGTATGGAACTGGTCCTCAGCTTGGGGATGAGGGTCCATCTGGACTCGAGAATGCTCCCAGGCCCATGGCCTCTGTGTTTCCTGTGTGTCTGTTCCGGGAGGAGGCATGGAGCAGGTTCACTGTGCCTGTTGGGGCGAGGCCAAAGAGAAGCCCACTGTGGGGTATATCCTGTAATCGGGTGGGTACCAGAAGAGCCAAGTAGCTATACTGTGGCAAGAAAATGTGAGTGTGACTGATCACTTCCCCAACCCAGGTTGTGCCCACGCACTGGTTCCAGAAGGAAGGGGCTGGTCTCTATTGCTCTATGCATGCCTGCAGAAGAGGCATCCAGGGGCATACTTTCATTTTAAAAATTATAGAGCATCAGAAGGTCAAAAAATAAATGTTGCCCCTGAAGATTCTTTGAAGAGTGGCATGTATGCTGGGGTGTGTTCCTCCAGGCTAGGCTGTTTTCTGTCAACTCATTCATGTATTTATCCACTCAATTCAGCTTGCACTGACTGAGCACCTAATATGTGGTGGACTCCCTGCTGGACATTAGAGATGGAGTACTAAGCTGGGCAGCAATGGCTTATGATATACTGGGCTTATTGTAGTGCCTCAGTAATTGTATAAGATCATAAATAATTACATTTGTGGTCACTATTCCAAGGCAAGGTCTAGGCATGTAGTCTCTGATGTCATTAAAGGCATTCCTGAGAAAGTGCCATTGGATATATGATTTGATGTGGAACTAGCCAGAAGAACCATGGGTAGCCCATTTCCGGCAGTGACATAAAACACAGGCAAGGCTGGGAGACAGGAAATAGATTGACACATTTGAAGGTCGGAAGAGAAAGTTCTTGTGGCTGGCTGGTAGAAGCAAAGCATGGCAGGTACAGCTGTAGAGGTGGCCAGTTGAGTAACTGTTGGCTCCAGTATCATTCTAAGAAATTTGGAGACAAATTACATTCTGAGAATTTGGGGCTTTTTTGTCTTGTTTTTTTAAGACAAGTCTCACTACCTAACCAGGCTGGCTTGGAACTTGCAGCAGTTCTTCTGCCTCAGCCTCCTTAGTGCTGGTGTTAAAGGCATGTGCCACCATACCTGGCATTCTAAGGATTTGGACAGAAATTCTAAGACCATTTACAGGGTCTTCATCCCTATGCATTGCTTGCATATATACAGATGGATGCCTGGTACAGAGTCAGTGCTCAGGGAGTATCAAATGAATGAGAGAGAGGAATGTAAAAAGATGAGCATTTTTACTAAATGAAGATCATCTTACATTGATAGCTTTGTAACCAGCTTTTTTTCCCAACATATACAACAAATTTTGAGTGCCCATTCCCATATATGTGCTGCTAAGATGAAATTTTCGATGTTATCCATTTCTCCCATCCAGGAAGGAGCGGCGGCCCCAGTGCCCTGCTTATAGTGCTGATCGTCCTGCAAGAGTGACGAGTGTGAGCAAGTAAAGACCCGGTGAGTGTACCCCCGAGTGTGGCCGGAAACTGGAGTGCAAGGTTCTGTGGGCTGGATTTGATGGATTTTGATGAGAGTTCTATAGAGAGCCATGGAAGGGTAACCCAAGATGCCCTGATCAAGTGCTGTGAGTGTGAAATCAACTTCCAAGTGATGTCCTAGGACTTGCACTGGGATCTGTGTATCTGCCTTTGCGTCCTCACAGAACACTGTCAGCTGGAGGTTATAGTAGAAGGAGCACAGTCAGAGGCCTATCATTCCTTGTCTCTTTGAGGCTACCTTCTTCCTATGAGAAGTACAGACAGGCTGAAGTTGTAGGGAATGAGGTTTGGAGTAACATGGTAGACCTTAGAAGTCAGGCTGAACCAGCTGTGGACTTCTCCTCAGGGTGATTTGGAGATACTGAAAGTTCTAAGCAGGGCTGGGTGGAGTGGTGCATGCCTACAATCCCAGCACTCAGACGATTGAGGCAGGAGGATCATTGTGAGTTCAAGGCTAGCTTGGGCTACATTATGAGTTCAAAGTTAGCCTCAACTACATAGCAAGACCCTGTCTCAAAAAAAAAAAAAAAAAAAAAAAAAAAAAATCCTAAACAGAGAAACACTGCCTGCACATCCATCTATCCATTTGACGTTCATTTGTTCATTCATGAAGTATCCTTGCCGTGGGATAAGGCAGTGAATAAAGTGCATGTAATAGACTTGATCACATTTGCATTTTTATGAGCTAGCAGCTGCCATTGGTTTGTGTGCAGATGAGTTAGAAGGAAGTGGTCAGAGACAGGAAGTCCACCAAGAGGGTTGGAGGTGGGTTGGGATGGAGGCAGAGCAGCTTAAAATGTATGAACAAATTGTGCAGGATGAGGAAAGGGAGCTTTTGCTGAGGATTCAGTGGCTGGAGTGGTTGAGTTGATGGTGCTGTCTGACTGAGACTGGGGCTCTGAGCTGAGGCATTGGTGGATCTGTTCTCTCCCTAAGCTCCTTGAAGGCAGAGCCTGTGCCTCTTGGTTATCACCCTGCCCACAGAGCAGTGCTGCACAGGTTGCTGAATAAAGAAGGCTGTGTCAGGGATAGGGCTGGACTGGTTGGGGAGGAAGTAGCAGCCTGGGTTATTTGCTCTTGGTAAGATGGTTATGGGGTGCCACAGGAAAGGCCATGGCACAGGTAGGAAAGGCCAGATAGAGAGAGAGGTTGTAAGGGTACCATGTCCTCTCCATTTTCCAGTGGATGGGTCTGACCTTCCTGAAAGCCCAGTCTCACCAGAAGAGGAACCTGAAAGGGAAGTACTCTATCCTCTAGGAAAGCCACTTGCTGATAGCAGTGTGGAGAGGTGAAGATGAAGCGTTCTGTAGGTCCTAACTTCTGCAGGCTGAGCTGGTTTGGAGGTTAGGAGAAGATGCTGTGAGGTCCTGAGGCCCAGGAACCAGCTAGTGCAAGTTAAACTGTGTGTAGTGGTACACGCCTGTAATCTTAGCCCTCTGGAAGCTGAGGCAAGAGGATCACAAGTTCATGCTCAGCTGGAGCAACTCAGTAACTTAGGGAGATCCTGTTTCAAAATAAAAAGCTGGGGGCGTAAACCAATGTGAAGGCCCCAATTCCCCACAGCACCAAAAAAAAAAAAAAAAAGGTTGGGGGAAGGACTCACTGGCAGATTGGGACTGCCTTGGGTCCGGGGCCCAGAACTCACTGGGGACTGTGTTCTGGGGTAAGAATCAGGTCAACCTTAGGTGGAATTGGCAAAGTAGCACGCTATCAGAGTGTCTTAACCTCTGTAGTTGACACATTGGAGCAGATAATCCTGTGGGCACTGGCCTGTTACTGTAAGATGTCTTGCAGTATCACAGGTTTCTTTCCACTAGATGCCAGTAGCTCCCACTCCTCAACCCCAATGTTTGTTTTTGTTTGTTTGATTTTAGTTTTTTGAGTCGGGAACCCTGGCAGCTTCAAGCTCATAATTCTCCTGCCTCAACTTCCCAAGGGCTAGCACACTCGGCCCCAGCTCATCCTGACAATCAAAAATATCTCTCCAGACTGGCATAATATCCCATGGGCAGTCCCACTGTGGCTTGAGAACCACTGTTCTGCATTCCTCCTGCTTCTTTCCCTGTGTTGTACAAATCTGAAGACTAGAGGGTCAGTCAAGGAAGGTTACTGATGGCTCACTGGAGCTGAGTGCTGGGGGCACATGAGAGGTTGAGATAGAAGAGAACAGTGAGTGCAGAGGCCCAGAGGAGCAGAGTTGATAGCATTGATCCTTGGGGGCTTCATAGGAAGGGGCTCCAGGCTCTGACCCTCCTCCTGACTGCTCCTCCACTCCCTAGAGAAGCTGAGGCCCATAAGGAGCTCCGTACGGCTGAGGGAGCCCCATATCAGCTGTGGATGGAAGGCTGCTTCTGCCTGTGCTCACAGATTTGGCTTCCTGGCTAGCAAGAGAGAAGGCAGTCTGAGGCGATTTCTGCCAGCTCCTTCCCTGGGGCAGGGCTCGTGGCTAAGACTGATTCATTTCTCTTACAATCCAGTGGTTGGTTTGGTGAGAGTTGGAAACATGTTGGTTTTCCCTTTTCAAGTATAACTAGGCCTGTTTCCGCCTCCGTTGCTGCAGTGCCACGTGGTGAACTGTCCAGAACATGACAAAAGGGCTAGGTTAGCTGCCTGTCGCTGGTCAGAAGATGAACGACCTCCAGCTCTCCCTGCCCCACGAGCTCGCTTCATTGCCCAAGCCTGGCCTCTTCGTTGGCTGACCACTGTGTAGGCCCTAGATCCCCCTTCTTTCTAGCCATGTCCATTTCTGAGTGCCAGTCTTCAGGGACCAGTGTCCTGTCCTGGGGAAGAAGGTAGGGGAGGCTCTATGAACAGGTGGTATTTGGAGACTAATTAATATTAGTGAATAATAACTTGTGGCCAAGGGAAATAAATTAATCCGTGTTTGCATATTCGTGAGGGGGCCTTGGGAATGATTCCAGCTGTTCTCCAGCCAGGATTGCTCCATCCTGGCATCATCTGGCTCCTCAGGCCCCTCAGAGGTTGGTAGGAGTAGGGTGGTTAGAATGGGCCATGTGGAGGTGACATAGCCTCTAGGTAGCAAGCATTTTCTGCAACAATTGTGTGCGAGTCCTGCAGCTCACTGTACTTCTATTGCCTGCTTTCTCCTCTTTGTTCAGAGCAGCGATTCACAGGCCCTTTGGTTCACAAATTGGTACACTCTCCCCAAGTATTTGGGGGCCAGACAACAAACCAGATTGCTTGGCAGTTTTTCGTTTGCTAACTGAGGGTATTATAAAAGAACAACTGCTATCTGCTATCCCCATCATAGCATACAAGAAAAGACATTTTAGCACCAAGGACAAAATTTTAGAATAAAGGACAGTTCTTCTTAAGAAAGGGCACTTGGCAGCTTCACACTGATGTAGCAAAAAATAAAAAAAAAATACATTAAAACCATTCCGAATGTTGAAAAACTACATCCAATTATATGCTATACCATAAGGCATGTAATTGTTTTGCTGCCCAAGTGTGTCAGTGTGGTGGAACTGATGGTCTGCAGTACAGTCCAGGGAGTCTGAGTTGAGCTTGAGTGTCCAAGTGTTTGGGTCTTTTTATTTATTTGCTTACTAATTTATTTTTTGGTGGCAGTAATAGGGACTCAACCTAGTACTGGTTACAGTCCCCTGATGCATTCTAGGCAAGCACTCTTACCACTGAGCTATATCCCTAACCCCCCCTCCCCTGCCGCCGCCTTATACACAGAAATGTGATGACTTTCTAAAAGTAAATCAGCTTTTTCGTGTTCTTTAAATTTTATTGGTACCTTTTAGATATACATAATGATAAAATTCCTCATAGACAATTTGTACTCATATATGATAATCTTGCTACTGCTGTTTTTTCTTTTTTGAACAAAGTTTTGCTTTGTAATTCAGGCTGGTCTTGAACTCACTATGTATCCCAGACTGGCCTTGAACTCACTGCAATCCTCTTGCCTTAGCCTCCTAAGTGCTGGGATTACAGGTGTGGGCCATCATGCCTGGCACCATTTTTATTTTGAAACAAAAAATTAGGTCTCTGACTACCATGGCTGGAATCTCACCTGAGGTTGTACCACAGGGATGTCTATTGTGGGAATGATAGCCCCATGACAATCTTGCAACCCTTTATTGCTGGAACCAGTCTCCCTCTCCCCTACCAGTGTCTGTAATGGAGTGTCATGCCTCTGCAATAGTCTGAGTGTGGAGCAGTGGCTTTCAGTCCAGGAATACCCTCAGCAGACAGCTCTATCCCCAGATGTCTATATCCTCTGTGTGCACACACATGATGTCTAGAGCAGACAGCTATACTCCATGATGTCTGCATCTAGAATTTACAGTGCTGTGATTACTGTACCAAGGCAGCTACAAGGGATTAAGTCTCTGTGATAATTGTACCGGGGAGTTCCATCCATGGTGATAGTTATGCATTTGTACTTTGTAATATCTGTGCTGTTTAACTTTGCCCTTTTGTGTCTGTACCAGAGAGATCCCCCACCACCATGATGCTAGTGCTGGAGGGTGTGGCAATGGTATCTGCAGTACGGGTACTTGCCTGGAATGCTTGAGCCTGGGAGTTAACCTCTATGACTTTTGTATTATTGCATCCCATGATGCCTGTCTCAAGCACTCTCTGCCTGTTCTTTGATGTGATGCATCACTGAGTTGTCAACTGGTGGCATCTGTGCTGCAGCTCCAGAGTGGTCACATCAGGGAACCATGCTTCCATGATCAGGCAGTGACCACCTGATGACTTGGGAAAGTTGGATCCTGCAATTGGGTGCACTGTATCCCACAGTGCTGTGATGACCAAGCCCAGACAGAGCCTTAGTGATAATGCAATCCCACCCCAACATGACCATGTAGGGAGTGAATCATTGTGGTCTCAGCCACCAAGTTTCTGTGATCACTGAGCAGACCCACTGGTTTGGAGAAAATGGAGCTGGATGCCTACATGCGCCTTCTGCTTTACTACTTTTGCTGCTCAACTTCTTTCTTAGAGTTTTGGTGAGATCCTGAGGCAGTGCACATCTCCATCTACCCTCACTTTCCCTTTATGTTCGGCTCTTACCTCTCTCCTTGTCCCACCTGTTATGTCCAATGCCTTAGTCCATTACTGCCATCTGACCCTATGACTTCAGACTGTCCCAGTTGAGAAAAAACCAGAACCATCTTTGATCCCTGTCCCTCTTGTTCACCTGCCCTGTCACCTTACAAATTCTCTTACCATTATGTGCCATCAGGCACCAGAGTCCCTGGGTACCACTGGAGGACCCCAAGGCATGTTCAGTGTCACTCACTGTCTCATCATGCCCTATCTGCGTTTCAGAGCATTAATGAGGGACTGACCATGTTCCAGCACCCTGCCCAGAGTAAAGTGTGAGCAGCCTCTTTGGGCACTGCTACAGTTCGGTTGATGTCCCCAGGCAGAGGGAGGGAGGCCCTCCAGTGTTCAGCACAGAGGTTGAGTGGTAGTTGTATGTCTGAGTGTGAGGGCTGCCTTCAAGGAAGAATTCCTGAAGGTGTCTGCAGAGTGGAGCTGGTGCACAGGTGCAGATTCTGCGAGCATGGCCCGGAGGCTTTCAGCTGGTCAAAACGCTGTCCCTCTCCTCCCCACCCTAATCTGCTTTGGGCTTCCAGGGCAAGGGAAGACAAGGCATGAGGGTAGACTCAGTAAGGGTCCAACACCTCCATTCCTCACCATTAAAGCCTCCCTGTTGTTTCTCTATGGAGTGGGAAGGTACCATGGGAATTGGGTAGGATGAGGGTGGCCAGGTAGGGCAGCTGCAACTTGTTGAGTGCAGTCCTGACGAGTCCTGACTGGTTGTGGTTTTGGCTCCAGTCCTCTGATACCTGGAGCTGACTGCTGCTGACTAGTCTATGTTATGGGGTTGTGCTCAGCGTGTAGGGGTCTGGCCTCTTGCTTCCTGATTCCCCACTGCTAGGAAGAAAATAGGCAATAGACTGCTCCTCAAGAGTTTGGAGTCTGGGCTTTGTGGGTCATCTAGCTGCTCACTGCTCCTTGTCTTCTCTATCCTGTCCTTTAGCTGGTTGAATTGGACCCTCAAGATCTGTGGTGGAACATCTCTGTACATCTTCAGTCTCAGTGGTTCCTTGTTCCCTCTGCTGGTGCTTAGACTACCCTAAAGACCACAGTGTGACTAGATTATCCTTGTCAGTGTTGGGATTCAATGAGGAACGCTTGGGTGGTTGTTGTATAGTCCAAGGTGGGGTCTGTGGGGCAGAAGGAGTTTGGTGAACATCAGCTAACTGGCTCTGCCCTTCTCTCCATTACAGGTGGATTGTCCTGGGCTGTGGCTAGCTGTGGAGCTAGAGCCCTGGATGGCCCTGGAGCTAGCCTCAGGGAGAATGATGGTGCCCCTTGTGCCTGCACTTGTGATGCTTGGTTTGGTGGCAGGTGCCCATGGCGACAGTAAGTCTGACCCCTCAAAGTCTGAATCTCCCAGGTTGAAAGGTGACATTTTTCCTAGTAGGTCTCTAGGATTTGGCAGGACCACTTATTAAGAGAAATAGGATGGCCAGATGGCACTCTAGAGAGAATCTGCTTGGAGCCCTCTCCAAAGAGTACCTGGCCCCATTGCTTCCCAGAAACATCCTGCAGAGTGCCTGTGTATTCTTAGGCTCAGCAGGGTAGGGTGTGTCTAAGCATGACCCTATTTTATGGGGCTGGGATGAGACAGGTCCTCAATTCATATGGTCTTTGTGTGACATACCCACAGTTGCAGATCTATGTAGAAGCCTCTGGTGATCTATACTTGGATAGCACTGTGGAAGTAGAGGGCAGCACACAGGGAATGTATGTGATGCCACACATGTGCACAGGTTCTAGGAGGGCTTAGAAGCCAGAGCTACTCATATCTCTTCTCCTGGGCCAGTTCGGCAGGGTCCAGGTGGTAAGACCAAGCCCTTCCTTCCCCTTTCACTTGAAACCTTCAAGGCACAGGGTGTCCCTCTTCCCTGGCCCTTCCGTGGAAATGGGAATAAGATTGTATTGCGCTCCAGCACCTGTGTGTGTGCACGTGTGTGTGTGTATGTGCGCGCGCGCGCACGCGTGTACATGTGCGTAGATGTGGATGGAATCTGTGCCCTACCCAGGTCTAACTCTAAACTTTGGTCCCTTTCCTGCGGCTGCCCTTCCCCCGCCTAGCACTACCGACTGGCCGCAGCCGCCCCGTCACCATGGTTACTTCTGCTTGGTTACTGGTGGAAGGCGGAGCACAGGGCAGGCTTAGCCAATCTGCAGGCTTGGAGGGAGGGGCAAGGTCGTAGCTAAGGTCCCTGGGGGAAGGGACTGTTCCCAGCTGTCTGGAGCTCCGAGACTGTTTTGGCCAAGTCAGGGGTCAGCCTTCACGTCAGCAGGCCATAGGGTCCCTCCACCCCCTCCAAATCTCTGGGCACAGATCTCTTCCCCTTGCCCCACCAAGGGCAGTTTCTCGTAATGGCTCATGAGTTATTCAGCAACCAGTCTTGGAGGGGGTGGCACCAGGTTGAAGCAGCCTGCCCTTTGTCCTCAGAGGCTGGGCCTTGGGTGGGGCTGGAAGAGAACGGGATGGGGCAGGCATTCCTTCCTGCTCTGAGATGAGGGTAAAGGGTAATAAGAGCTCCAGGTGGCTGGCCAGGAGAGGGCTGGATCAGGAGGAGCAGGGCTGAGGGTCTCAGCAGCAGAAGTCTGTGGTAAATCAGGAAGAATCGTGAAGTAGGATGACTGTAGGTCAAGCTGGCGCTGGTGGGAGAGAGCTTTAGCTTGCAGAGGCAGCTTGGAGAAGACCTCATTGGGTGTGGCTCTGTTGCAGGCAGGGAAGTGAAGTCTTTGTCCAGGTGTGGTCAGCAGCCAGTAGACATCAGAGAACTCCCTGTGCTCCCCCACCCCCACCCCCACCACAGACATCCTCAGAGCCCAAGAGAGTGGGGGAGGATGCCTAGTTCAGTGTTAGGAAACTGCATCTGGGGAGAACTGCCTTCTCTTTGCCTCAGACCCAGCACCCCGCAACCTGCACCTTTCATTCCCACCCCCCACCTGCTTCCCACATTCTCTCTGTGAGTAGCATTACCACCCACCTGGCCACCAAGTCAAAAGTCTGGGCCTCCTCCCAGCTTCCTCCCTCTCATATCCCACATCTCATCCATCACCAAGTTCTGTTGTCTCTACCTTCTGAATATTTTGGAATGCATCCACTTCTCTTTCTCCACTGCCTTCATCCAAGCCCTTGCTTGGGCTTCAGCCTGCAACAGCCTCCTGACGCACTGCTCACCTCTGTTGCTTGCCTCCAGTCTCTCCGCCTAATTTGCTTCCACTCCAAAGAGTCATATTGCAAAGGGTTTAAACTGTTTCGTTCCCCTGCCCACTGCTTATAGGGTCCTGACCCTTCTCCAGGCAAGGCATTGTTGAGCCTCTGCCAACCTCAGTTTTCACAGTCACCTTCTAACCTGCGCCCCCACCAACTATTCTTGAGTTAGGCATGTAGTTCACGAGTTACGCATCACAGCCTTCTTCATTTTTTCTATTTCCTATTTGGAACCTTCTTCCCTGCCCTTCACCTGCTGAATTCTGATTCCCCTCCACCTATCACTTCTAGGACCCTAGATTTTGTGTTCTTCCTCTGTGTGCCCTCCCACTGTGCAGTTGTGGCAGTCTACCTGGGTCTTTGTTTTCTACCCACCACTGGACTGTGGATTCTGGGAGTTCACGGGGTTGTCTAGCTCAGGGCCTGGAATGTGATGGGTAAGAGAAGTGGAGCAGCCCTGGACCACAGTAAGAGTTGGATGGGGGGCAAGTTGGAACAGTTTTTAAAGCAGATTTCCAGGGATCTCCTTGCTAGGTAGAGACCAGAACTCAGAGTCTTGGGACTTGAAGGTAGGAGCCAGCTGAGGAAGCTGAAATCTGCCTTGGCTAAGGTGTAGAGTTCAGGAGTGAGACCTGGGCACTCTGCCAGTCAGAGAGCCATGGGGCAGAAGCCTATGCTGGGGTTGTGGTGACCAGCCCTGGAAGTCAGGCTCTGCCCTACTGGCCTGCCTTACACTACACTCACTTTAGGGTCTCTCCCTAACTGTGACCAGGCTTAGGCTGTGCTTGGGACATTTCTCACTAGGGGCAAGCAGCCAGACCTGCACAGGGCTGTTGCAGAAGGCAGGGCAGACGCCCTGAGAATTGACGACCAGAGCAGTGAAGTGCGGAGTGGACAAATGTGTTTCTATAGCCCTTTAACGAGACAAATGAATGGGGGCCCTGGCCTCGGTGGAGTGGAGGGAAGCAGGTGGAGAATCAGCTGCCAATAGCTAGCCCAAAGGCCCAGCATCAATGTGGAGTCAGCCTGGCTGGAAACCTAGGCATGCAGCACATGTGGAGCTGGGTCCCCATTCAGTCAGCTCCCCCAGCCCAGGCTCTGGCTTCTCAGGAGGGAAGGCCTGCGGGTCCAGAGGTGGTCCTGACTTGAGATGGAGGTTTCTACTGATCTTGTGTTTATGCCAGGTACTGGGCCACAAGGAACTCATACAGGCCTGCCATGGGCAGGACCCACAGTGTGGGGACCCAGGCCTGGGAACAGACAGTTACAAAATGGGTGTAGGTTAGGGTGGTGCTGGCACAAGCAATGACCTAAGCATCTTGGGCGGGATGTTGCAGAGCTTTGCAGAAAAAAGGAAACCCTGGAAAGTGATTGGGCATTTGCTAATGGAGTATTGCATAATGAGGGGGGATTGGGAGAAAGAAATGGGAATGCCCTTGGGCTTCTCTGAAAAGCCTTTGAGAGAGTCACAGTGAGAAACCACAGACCGAAGTGGGGGCCCAGGACCAAGTGTGAGTGGGGCCCAGGTTATGGCCCTATAACTTGGGATTAATAGACATTGGAGCTGAATGTCTGGTGGCTAGCAGGGTGGGTAGTAGGTGGGAGCTATAGGTACAGGAGTGCAAAGGCCTGACGAGTTGAGGGTGTGTCTGTTCTGTGATTTCCCCTTCCTCAGAGCCTCGAAGCAGAACTTAGGAGAGTGCTACATCGAGGTCTGCAGTGCCCTCCCCATTGTGCTTATGGGTGGCCCTTCTAGACTACTCCATTCAACTTTCCACAGGATACTTTCTCTCCATGGGCCTGTTTTCCTGTTGCACAACAGAAATAATCACACCTACCTGGAAAGGTCAACTGAGGTCACCTGGCGCTTAGTCATTGCTCCCCCTGTTGGGAGGCCAGGCCTTCCTAGAACCAGGGTTGTCTCTGAGTAGGCTCCTGTGGGAGGGGGACCAGAAGCAAGCACTGGAACTCATTCATGAACCCCCAGCTCATTATGGGGTTTAGGACCTGGAAAATGGCTCCTTCTGGAGCTTTCCCAGCCTTGCCACTCTTCACCCCTGTGTGTCTACCCTCTGCTTCCTGGTGCTGTTTGTGTGCCTGTGAATATATGTTCCTCAGGGAAGCACAAAATAGCAGTCAGTCTCCCTGTGGAGCAGCTGAAGGTGCCCCCGTTGGCTGTCCCTAGCCCTGTAATGTCTCTTGAGGGTGTGCCTCCCTGATCCCAGGCTAGTTCTGGGGTCATTTCCACCCAGGGGTCAGTGACCTGGGCTTGAGAACATCAAGCTACAAGCGCCAATCAGGCTGGGTGGCAATAGGGCACTGTGACAGTCCTTCTTGACATGTTCAGATGGTACCCTTTTGACCCAGTCTAAGAATTTCTGTTCAGACCTTCCCAGAACACCTTCACCTATGGGGAAGGCACAGGGCAGAGTGGTCAAAATAGCCTGGTTTCACTTGCCTGCCTGCGGACCATCCAGTCACCAGAATGTGATCCATACTGGGATGGGAAACCCAACTGTGGGACATAGCGCAGGCTCCCGCAGTCACTTGCAAAGCAAGGAGGTGCTGGGGGGCTGGCCAAATAGGGATGCACATGTGAGAGTCTACGGTGTGTTTCAGCACGGTGCTCAGCTCTTTGTTGTAAGTGCTCAAAAGATACTTGTCTGAAGAGAAAAAGGCTTGAAAGGTCAGCAGAAGCAAGTTCAGGGCAAATGTTGAGCTTGGGTTTGCAACTGAGAAGGGGGAGAGTCCTGCCAAGCTCCCCAGAGATCTCCTAGTAAACAGAAGGGACTAGGTCCAGAATGAAGTCCAGGAAGAGAAGGGCTGGGGTTTGGCTCTGGTGTGGAATGAGGGTGCCGGTGAGTAGTGAGTAGCAGTGGGGAGTGGGGTGAGGCCTGGCCAAGGGGAGCCGTCTGCCCAACTGCCCTGAGGCTACACTGGACACAACTGCTCGGCCCATCTGGCCTTGGGCAAGCTAGCCAGGCAGGGCGCTGGCTCCTGTCCAGCTTCTAGAGGCAAGGAGCACCTGCTCCCCCCCCCCCTGAATGGCCAGGTCCTGGACACTGGTCAGCCTCCACACAGCTCCCAGGGCTTTCCCTCCTCGCTGTGGGTGACCCTGTCTGGCTCTTCTCTCCAGCTTCTCTGCTCTTTGTTTGGCCGGGAGGCCCTGCCCCACCCCCTACCCCCAGCACATTGCAGGCCATTCTGGTTCAGCAGGTTCCAGTCTCTAGTTGCAACAGTCTCTCTAGCTGCAACATGTTGAGGCAAGAGCTGGACCCTGGAGCTGGTGGGGAACTTCTGCCTGGGGATTTCAGCACATGTGAGGGGCCAAATATACCACCATCCTCTTGAGTGTCTTCTATTCTGTACCCCCGTATGCCAGGAGCTGGGTCAAATGCCTGGCCAGGGCAGGAAACAGGACAGGTCTGTGTTATATTGTATGTGGGAAATAGCTTTTGAACACTCACCAGAAATGTGGAAAAAATAGCCTCACACATGTGTGTGAAATAAACTGGGAACAAAAGCTGTGACCTCACACATGCATTAACTGTGACCAAGCTGTGGGAAGCAAAGGGAGCCTGCACCAGGAACTGAGCTAATGGGCAAGTTGGACTTGAAGGCTTTCTGTGGAGATGATGTTTAAGTTGAGGTGAGAAAGGTCGATAGGAGGTAGTGGGTAAAAAGGTTGTCCAAGAGTTTTGCAACAGGAGTAGCTGCGGACAAAGGTCCGCAGACCATAGGGAGCATAGCTTTTTCAGGAACTCCTAAGCCAGGACTTTGGGGAGAGCCACTGGGTCAGAGCTGGCAAGGCTTTGTCGTTATAGGAGTTTACTTTTTCTGTTTTATGAGAGCTGTGCAAAGCCTTTGGAGGGATTTGGTCAGGGTGAGGCTGTCCTTTGATTGCATAATGTAGAATAGCAGAGGTTGGGCAGGGGGTGACACCAAAAGCAAGGACTCCAGCTCATTAAAGCAGTGGGTGTCTCATTAAGGGAACATGGATAGAGGTGGTGGCAGTGCAGATGGAAAACTGGGAGCTGTCGTCTGGAGGTTCTCAGATATGGAGAGCAGGTGCCCAATGTGGAATCTGAGGAGATAGTTGTCTCTAAGAGGAGCAGTAGACCACACATAGGGCAAGCCTCCCTCCTAGACAGCTGGGGCAAGGAGTTTTGGAACAAATTTGGGTCATCCTCATGACCTGGGCTCCAGTGGGCTTGTGTTGGTTTCCCCACTGCAGCCATCCCCACCTCGACCTGCCCTGGTTCCCTGAGCTGGCTGTGTTTGCCTGCTGTCCCCATGTCACTAGGAATGGGCAGTGGTAGGTGTCCATGATTAGCTTGGGGCTTAGAATGATGGTCATACTATGGCTGTAGCCCAGACACTCTTGTTGATCCTTGTGGGGGTGGCGAGGTACTGAGAATTGAACTTGCTAAGTTGCCTGAGCTGGTCTTGAACTTGTAATCTTCCTGCTTCAGTGTCCTAGAGTGCTCAGATTATAGGCATGCACCATGTGCTTGGTTGGAGTTACCAGTTCTTAAACCCTGTAAGCCTCTGGTTCCCCATCTCTGAAATGGGGATCATACATGTCCCTCATGGGCTTACTTGCAGTTGTTGTGGGATGTGTTTAAACATCATCTTTCACGTCTTTCAAGAAAATCCACCACCCCTAGCTGCCCATCATCTTTTCTCCCAGCCGTGTCCCATCTTCCTTACACAGTCACCTGTATACTTTCCACTTTCACATCCACCACTACTCTGCCTTCTTTGGCCCAACTTCAGTGGCTTTGCTCTTGACAAGGCCTGTTTTGTGCCAGGTGTTACTGTTTATTGTTGTGGCACTAAGGATTGAAGCCAGCAGCTTGTGATTGGTACATAAGTTGTGCCAGGTGTTTTGGACTTTGGCAGGGCTGAATTTAAGTCCCAGATGTATTGTTTACTGGCTGTATGACCTTGGGCAAGTAGCTAGATACCTTTGAGTGTACAAATTGGAGCTCTATTAAGGAATGCAAACTAGGTGAGATAGAAGTACCTGGCAGAGAGTGGCTGCTTAGTGAAAGACTCTTTCTCTGCTAGGACCCAAGCCAGACAAGAGCTCATGGGCATGGAACAGGTGGTCTGAAAGCTCACTTCTTAAGGCGTTAGTCCTTCTTGGCGCTATTCATTGGTTGATTAATAGGAAATGGATCTGCTATCCGGATGAATGAGGCATTGCCACATCTCTTTTTTGTTTGTTTGTTTGTTTTTGGTACTGGGGATCAAACTCACAACTTTGAGTTTGCCAGGCACCATATCTTAATAAATCAGGTTTCACTGGCTTTGGACCCTGGGTATCAGGATAGGAGCTGTGATCTGGCCCAGGTTTGTATACCAAGTGACATAGGTGTGGTGGCAGTGCATGAGCCTCTCCCTTTCTCCCCTCTCCATGCCTCCTGGAGGAGGGGGACCTCAGGGAACCGTCTAGTCTGTCAGAACACAGCAACTAAGCAGTGGGAGCAGGGGTGGGGGGGCAGATTACAGGAAAGCGTTTACCTGGGAAGACATCCAGAGATATTTAGGAGCTGTAATGTCTAGGCTTTGGTGTGTGGGGGTTGGGGATGAGGAGGAGTCATAGTTTCTGACTTGAGCTTTGGGGTTGATGAAAGTGCCATGACCCATATGGAGAGCAAGGCAAGGTGGGGGAGGACAGGCTGTGGGAGTTGGTGGGGCCCATCCCGGAGGGCAGCTCTTGACATGCTTTTTCTTGGAGCATGGAGTAATAGGGCTGGGAAATGAAAGGAGGATCTCCAAACTCAGACTCTGAGGCTTGTTCAGGTTGCACCCTGCTACTTAATAGCTGTGTCATGTTAAACAAATCCTGTAACCTCTCTGAGTCTTGATTTTTCTTTTCTATAAACAGTAATTATAGCACCTACTTCATAGGCTTCAAAGAGTTAATAAGCGTTTAGCACCTTGAACAGTGCCTGGTATACATTAAGCACTATATAGAAGTTAGGTGTTACTATTTTGTCTGTAAATCTTTCTTGGTCCCTTACACCTGCATCTGCTGCCTACACTGTCGACTGTGCCTGTGAGTGACCATGCTGTAATAACTTGGTGTCTCCATCTCTTCCAGGCAAACCTGTCTTTGTTAAGGTCCCCGAAGACCAGACTGGGCTCTCAGGAGGGGTAGCATCTTTTGTGTGCCAAGCCACTGGTGAACCCAAGCCACGCATCACATGGATGAAGAAGGGGAAGAAAGTCAGCTCCCAGCGCTTCGAGGTCCGTCCCCAGTCGGGAAGGGCAGGAAGGCTGGGGATCTGCCCACTCTTCAGTCTGGTCCTTTACCTGGTTCTCTTAGTCTCTCTCCCTCTCTTCATTGCAAGTCTTTCAGAAGTAGGAGGAAGACTGTTCTGAGTAGGCCCCTGTGTCACCAACAGACTATGACCACCACTTCTTTGTCCTCTGACAGGTGATCGAATTTGATGATGGGGCAGGATCAGTGTTGCGGATCCAGCCATTGCGGGTGCAGCGAGATGAAGCCATCTATGAGTGCACAGCTACCAACAGTTTGGGCGAGATCAACACTAGTGCCAAACTCTCAGTGCTTGAAGGTATACACCATCAGGACATGGCATGGTGGGTGGGTAGACGAAGGTATGAAGAGAGCCAGCCGGCCTAGGCCCTAGACAGTGGATATCTGGGGGTGAGTGAAAGTCAGCAGTGACCAGGCCTGGGTTGGCTTATGCCGAAACCAGCTATGTGTATGGTGCCTTTGTATCTTCCTGCCAAGCTGGATCGTTGCTCTGGCCAGCTGTGGGTCTGATTTGAGGTGTAGGGCTGCTGCTGGGTATCCCTTGGGTTTTGAGACTGTGTTAATGACTAATGTTTTTCTATGGAATCTGTCTGTAGGTATCAGTATGCACCTTTTGCCTTATGAGCAAGGGTCCCAGGCTGGGGACTGTGGCTCTGTATGTGGATTTTAGTGTCTTTTCTCTCTTGTTAGCACTGCTATTCATTCACAAACCAGAACTACCTTGAAGTCCAGAAGGTTATTCTGCCAGGTGCTGCCCTTGAGGGACTCAGTGTCCAGTGAGTTTGGTAGGAACAGCTCAGAGGGCTGGTACACACAAGGAAGGAATTTGACCAGAGTCAGGTCTTGGAAGTGGGCGGGGTGGTGGTGAACTGGTACCCAGATGGTGACCAGACATGTGCACAGCCCAGAGGTGAAGGAGAATGCAGCTTTTTGAGAACTCTGGTTCAGTGTAGAGTTTCTTTTGGGTGGGGGTTTGGGAGTACACAGAGGGCACAGGAAGAAGAGGAAAGAGCAGTTCAAGATCAGGCTGAGAAGTATCACTTTCCTGGAGACATAGGAAAGCATACAGTTAGACTTTAGCCACATGGATTCATCAGTTCAAATACTAATGTGTGTGTATTTTCAAAATATAGCATTGATTCTTGCTTGCTTTTTAAAATGCAATACTAATACCTGCTCATTGTTAAAAAATTGAAAAGTAAAAATAAATGAGTGAGAAGTATAAAATAGAAAGAAATCAATCACTTCTTACTGTCCTTCTTCCTTGTGGCCCATTTTCTGTGCATGCATATATGTGTTAATATATAAAAAATAGGATCACACACCACCTCCCAGGGATTTACAGATTTTTTTCTCTTTCTTTTGTTCATTCATTCCTTTCTTTTTGTGTGTGTTGAGGGAGGCTGGGGGTTGAAGTTAGAGGCTTTGCATTGTTATATCTCAGTCTTTTTTTTCTTTTTTGATACAGCATCTTAACAAGTTGTCAAGACTTATAATCCTCTTGCTTCAACCTCTAGAGTGCCGAGAATATAAGTGTGACCACAACAACTACTTTAGCTTTTTTTTTTAATGTATTGTGAACATTTATCTTGCCGATGTATTATCTTCTGTGTGTGTGTGTGTGTGTGTGTGTGTGTGTGTGTGTGTGTTAAGACAAGGTCTCATGTAGTTTAGGCTGGACTTAAACTCACAATCTTCCTGTCTCAGCCTCCTCAGTGCTGGGAATATAGACATGTATCACCATGCCCAGCTCTGCATCATCTTTTTGTTGTTGTTGTTGTTGTTGTTGTCATTGTTTGTCTTTTTGAGATAGGATCTCCTATGTAGTTCAGGTTGGCCTTGAACTCACTACATAGCCCAGACTGGCCTCAAACTCATTGTGATCCTCCTGCCTCAGCCTCCTGAGTGCTGGGATTACAGCAATGTGTTACTATATCCAGCTTCTGCATTATTATTTGTAATGGCTGTAGGTAAGCTGTCACATGGAAGTAACCTAATTTACTTGCTATTCCCTTATTGTTAGACACATGTTGTACTTAACTTTATTTTTTATAAATCAGATGCTATACATGTCCTTGATGGTAGGGATATTCACCTATTATTCTAGCTTCATGGATGTGAAACACAAGACCAAAGGTACATGCTTTGCTGTTGTTGTGTGATAATAGGGATTGAACTTAAGCTCTTTGCACTGAGTCACGTCTTCAACTCTTTATTTTTGTCTTGAAATATAGGTCTAAGTTGCATAGGCTAGGCTTGGACTTGTAATCCTCCTGTCTCAGCTCCCAGTATGCTGGAATTACAGACATACCAACACAGCTGGCTGGGCATATGCATTTTTTAAGCCTTCACTAGTTCTAGGTTGTATTAGTTTATATTCTGGGCAAGCAAGGTATAAGAGAGCGTCTTTTATACACATCTTCATCAATTTGCCATTAAAAAAATTCTTGACCAAGTTAATAGGCAAAAAATGGCATCTCAGTTTAATTTGCAGTTCTTTGATTACAGGAGCAGTTGAACGTCTTTTCACATTGGCCACTTTTACATTGTGGCTGTCTTGTGTTCACACATGCAGCAGTTCAGTGACTCTTGCATCTGTATGTCTTGTGTGAATCAATGGTTCCATAGATCTCTGGTTGACCATTCAGCTTTGAGAGGCCGTAAGAGGACAGTGGTCAAGACAAGGACTCTGGACCACTTCATCACCATGTAGCTTTGGGACAGTAACTACATGTGAATCTCATTGCTCTGTCTGCAGACAGGGATATAATCCTTCCTGTAGTGCTTGCTTCGGCAGCACACATGCTGAAATGCCCTGTGTTCCAGCTGGTTCAGGAGATTAAAATACAATGTGGTAAGCACTTCAGGACTCCAGTGTGTGTGGTTACTGCTCTTGCTTGGGCTGGATGTTGCATGTTTTGAGGCCCAGACATGTGAGTGAGTGATACTTGGCTTCCATACTATCTGGCATGGTCTAGGTAGTACTGGCCTTAGTGCCCACTCCATCTGGGGAGACTGTGAGGCAGGCCCAGAAGACTGAGACTACTCCTAGCCTCCTTTCCAAACTGAAGTATGGGGGTAAATATGTCAATAGTGCCTTCCCCATCTTGGCATCTACTTCTGCTAGCTGCCATCTGCTCTCCCCTGCCGTTCAGATGGTGGCCAAAAGGCCAGAACTATGGCTTCTGGGTGTCTTCCTAGAGCCCCTGGGCCCCAGGTTCCCTGTCTCAGGGACTCTCTTGTTCTACCTGCCAGCATTTTTTTTTTTTTTTTTGTCTTTTTCATTTTTCTCGGTACCAGGGATTGAACTCATGACTGCCTGCTTGCAAGGCAGGTGCTTATGCCACTGAGCTAAATCCCCAGCCCCTGACCTGCCAGCATTTTAAGGGCTGATAGGGACGAAGGCAGTCTTTTTAGACCTGGTGTAAGAGGATTTACTCAAACTTGCAGCAGTCCACATCAGGAAAGGCCTTTCTATACAAAGGGTTCTCTTTCAGGCCTTTGGGTTCTGTGTTTGTTTGTTTGTGGTGCTGGAGATTGAACCCAGGACACTGCACGCGCTAAGCACATACTTTGCCACTGAGCGTTATCCAGCCTCTGGCTCAGGGGCAATTTGTACCTTAGGGGTATGGGAAGTGTGGGATGAGACGTGAAGAGTGTAAGGCAGGCCCTTGACCCGTCACGCTCCCACAGAGGAGGTGGAGCTGAAGACCTGAGCCAGCCCCATCTGCACCTGTAACACTGCACCCGGAAGACAGAATGCTGACCTGCTCAGTTGGTCTGTATAACCTTGACCAGCTTTGAGCTTGGTAGAAAGAAGTGCCAGGAGGCAGGGCCAGCGGGAAGTAACACAGTTGGCCAACCCTGCCCCTCCTCTCCTAGCAGAGCCAGGAAAGCTGGGGCACTTAAAGGAGCTGAGTAAAAGGATCATTGGACCAGAGCAAGCCAGAGTCATTCTTGGGAGGCCACCACGGGGTCTGAAGAGAAGTGGAGAAAGGTGAAGCTGGTTTAGGGGCTGGGGATGAGGGTTGAGTCCTTTACTGTGTCACACATACTGAACACACCCCCCACATTCACAGGGCTGTGTGCACCTGCTCACCGTGAGCTGGGTGCTCCATCCAGTGGTTCAGAGCTGCCTGGGCTAGGCAAGCTCTCTCAAATCTGGGATCTGCTTAACTCACATGTGGGGTAGTGTACCCTGGAAAGGGAACTCTGGACCATAAGTTCATTCAGTGCCCTGTGGCCTTGCTTGCTCCTCATGCACCCTACTCTTAGGCTATCTCCCCTGCAGTCTCTGGAACGTTGCCACATCGCACCACACCCTCCTCCTACAGCAGGACTGCTATTCCTGGAGAAGCTTGGTGAGCCCCAGGTGGTGGTCTTGGGATGGTCAATGCTCTGCCTCACCACCCCCGCAGGGCCTGAGTACAGGGTGGGGGTGTGCAGCACAAGCTGACTGGGGTGAGCCTGTCCTGGACTGTGATGAGCAGGGGCTCTGCTGCCCAGCGTTCCTGTCTGAGTGGTAATTGAAGCCATTAGTGCGCCAGCCTCTCCCTCGCCGGGTAATGGCAGGAAAAGCTCTTCTCGCTCTGCACTCTTGAGGCGGCGGCTGAATCACTCCCCCTCCAACCCACCCGCTGCCGCCACTGAGACAGGGAATCTGACATTTTCCCTCACAAGGGAGGGGGAGTACTGGGGGAGGGGAGGCAGCCCTTCATTCTGGGCCTTTTCCTCCAGGAGGTGGGAGTCAGTGAGGGTCCTGAGCTCAGCCTAGAGGTCACAGATTTATCAGGGTATTAAGGGGCCGTGCCAGGAAGAGTTGTGGTCAGGAAAGATGTAGGAGGAGACAGGATTGCCTTAGGTATGGGTGGGTCCCTGGTGGCTGGGTACCTTCTAAAAGGGACATAGAACACAGGGAGGAGAAGGAAAAGAGGCTGTGGAACAGCGCTGAACTGTTTCTGACTTGTCCTGGAGGTCCAGCTGCAAGGGCTTCAGGGGCAACATTCCTTTTGTCACAGATACGGCAGATAATGTGCCGCAAGTGTGGTGTGGGTACCCTGTGTGCTGTGTGTAAGTGTGCTATGCAGCATGGACAGCAGGGGTGTGTCTTACAAGCTGTGTGTACAGAAGGGGGTGGAGCAGGCTCTGCATGTGCACATGCATCCAGCAGGCAGTGGGGGAGGGCGTGCTAGTATAGCAAATGGTGTATACCTTCTGGGCTCTGTGTGCTGCAGGCTGTGTGTGTATGTGTGTGCGCGCGCGTGCATGTGCTCGCGCATGCAGCAGCAGCAGATGGTG